TGTTTCTGATGCATCCATGTGGGTTAAGTTCATACATATAACATTGTTTCTTATACATCCACATGGGTTCTGTTCCAGCAGTAAGCGTAGTTTCTGGCGCATTCCCATGGGTTCAGTTCATACAGCTAGTGTTGTTTCCAATGAATCCACTTGAGTTCAGTTCATACAGTTGGCATTGTTCAGTTTCTGATGTATCCATGGGATCTGTTCAGACTGTCAGCGTTCTTTCTGACGTATGCACAGGGGTTAGGTTGAGACAGTTGGCATTGTTTCTAATGAAATCACTTGAGCTGAGTTGAGACAGTTGGCGTTGTTTCTGATGTATCCACATAGGTTCAGTTCATCGTGCACGTGAATACACACAGGTTCACTGCATTCGCTCAGTAATATGTAAGGTTCCTGCTCGTGTACATTTTCTTCAGGTAAGAACTCTCGACTCATATACATAAGCTTAGGGCGACACAAGGTCCCTGCTCATGTACATTATCTTCAGGTAAGAACTCTCGACTCCTATCTCATGTACATTATCTTCAGGTAAGTACCTGCTCATGTACATTATCTTCAGGTAAGAACTCTCGACTCCTATCACAGTACCTGCTCATGTACATTATCTTCAGGTAAGAACTCTCGACTCCTATCACAGTACCTGCTCATGTACATTATCTTCAGGTAAGAACTCTCGACTCCTATCACAGTACCTGCTCATGTACATTATCTTCAGGTAAGAACTCTCGACTCATATCACAGTACCTGCTCATGTACATTATCTTCAGGTAAGAAGTCTCGACTCATATCACAGGTTTCTGCCCGTGTACATTTTCTTCAGGTAAGAACTCTCGACTCATATACATAAGCTTCGGGTGACACAAGGTTCCTGCTTGTGTACAATATCTTCAGGTAAGAACTCTTGGCTCATATACATAAGCTTCGGGTGACACAAGGTTCCTGCTTGTGTACATAATCTTCAGGTGAGAGAAGGTTCCTCCTCCTATACATAATCTTCAGGTGAGAGAAGGTGCCTCCTCGTATACATAATCTTCAGGTGAGAGAAGGTTCCTGGTTGTGTACATAATCTTCAGGTGAGAGAAGGTGCCACCTCGTATACATAATCTTCAGGTGAGAGAAGGTGCCTCCTCGTGTACATAATGTTCAGGTGACACACGGTTCCTGTTTGTGTACATAATCTTACACATAATCATAATCATACAAAATCTTCAGGTGAGAGAAGGTGCCTCCTCGTATAAATAGTCTTCAGGTGAGAGAAGGTGCCTCCTCGTATACATAATCACCAGGTGAGAAGGTTTCTCCTCGTATACATAGTCTTCAACCGGATGGTTTGGTTGGCATTTGTATTGTTTGTTTTTTTCTTTTTGTTGTTGTTGTTGTTGGCTTATTTGTTCTTCAGATTGTTGTTTTTTTATGTCAGCACTAGTTGGTCATGTGAGATTATATGCGACCTAGAAGGTCTGTTTTGATAAGAAATCTACCTAAAAAAATGTCAATGCCTTGAGCATGTACTAGATACATGGATAAGTGCGCTATATAAATATCCTATAATAAAAAAAAAGATTTGGAAAGTTGTGGTCGTTATTTAGTGGGCTTAGGGATGTTTGTAGTGTTAGGTGCGTCTTTGTGTCCAGTGAGTAAGATCAGAGAGTTAACAGAATAGAGATTGAGAGGCATATAGACAAGTGTGGGTTAGTGTTTCGACAGTACAGTGGGAATTAGGATTGCAATAGCATGGGGAAGCCAGTTAACTACACATTGTTTGCCTTAAACACGTGAAGCATGAAGTATAAACAAAGGAATTAAGATAGATGGGAATCATTGTGGGATTCGCAGCATTAATTCTCATAGAAATATGCACTGGGGAGATGTAACCTTAAATCAGGATGCAAAGGGCACTGAGTACTTATATATCTTACAAATCTAAACACGCGCTTCTTTCAGTGGAATTTTAGAAGTGTGGACGTGTAATATACATTAGAAAAAATTATGGATACAACTTCTTTATTTCCTGACTGCGACGTTTCGATACAGATTATTGTGTCGTTGTCAAATAGGAATGACAACGATTCAAGAATTTGTATCGAAACGTCGCACTCACGAAATAAAGAAGTTGTTATCCATAAAGTGTATCTATATTGTAAACACGCACGGGAATAAACACTGAGAAGCTTGGACTGCCACGCCAACGCTGCCCCGTCGTTCATAATAAACGCTCTCAACCATAACCCACGGGGTTTTAGAGGCCGTTACAAGGCATTTCACTTGACTACAAATCCCAAACTACCCCCTCGAGCCGATTCATCCTTGGTTTAGGCGACAACCAGTTCAAACCTTTCCTTGGAAATGGTCCGCCTATTCAGCTAATTCAATTTGGTGACCATAGAAAAGGACAGAGTTTCACTAATTGTTTACAAACTTCTGGTAATTCTAACTGTGATAATCTAGTCGCTTTACTCTCCTTTGACGACAGGTTTTATCATAAACATATATTCTTTACCAACGTCAACATTTGTTCTCGTCACGATATGGCTGAAATATTGCCGATGTGACGTTAAATATTAACTCACTAACTACAAATGTCTGAAGAACAGCACAAAAACATAAGTAAATTTATTAACAGACTTCCTGGTCTTTCCACTTCTGAATCGTTGCCTTTTGCTGGACTTGTTTGCCGTCTGTGCTATATCCCAAAATTTCTGATTGAGCTTATCAGCTCTATATCTTCCGATAGAATCAACAAATCTGTGATAAGTATTCATTTTCTCAATCAGAGCAGTGACAGTCAACATACATGTGTGCCTAGTAACAGAAAACGTGAAATGAATCGTGGAAATCTCTCTGCCTGCAGTCACGTGACTGTGACCCTGTCAACGATCGATTATATTCGTTTTATTTTTTGTGAAATCGACAAACCACAATCCCTCAGGTCGTTGTTAGCCTCTCTCACTGTCACATATTATATCTGCACTGAGTTTTCGTACCTCATGTACGTATAAATGGGCCGAGTGTCCAGTAAATATGATTACGCACCAAAAATCTCAGATCAATTAGTCAGTCAGCCGAATAGCGATTAAATCACATAAATATGACCTTGCACAGTTGTTACTTTACTTCTTTTTTTAAAAACAAACAAAACAAAACAAAACCTTTTTTTCTCTAAAAACATCATCTCAGACATCGGTTAAATGAAGGGAATTGATAGTCATTTGGTATTGTACAATCAAACTGTCGGTGTGTTGTCTAACATGCCAGCGGCGATATATAGACAAACAACCCTGATAACGAATGAAGAAATATATTAGTTCAAAGGCTTTTCATGCGTTAGTGAACGTATTTATGTGTAATCATCATTAAAACTTCACCTACATATTGTTTGAACGGTATATCGGTGTATACAGGCTCCTGTTCATTGTAAAGGATTGTAGAAACTATCATTTGACAGCAGAAATCAACAGTAAGTTTTAGCGAAGTGCTATTTCTGCGAAACTGACTTTTTACATGCAGAGTCGAGCCAGACATTTCTTGAATCTTTCATAACATATATCTTATTTATAAGATACTTTAAATAAATAGAAGTCCATGAGTGAGTGAGTTTAGTTTTATGACGCTTTTAGCAATATTCCACCAATATCTCGGCGGGGGACACCAGAAATGGGCTTCACACATTGTACCCATGTGTGCATTCGAACTTGGGTCTTCAGCGTGACGAGAGAACGCTTTAACCACTAGGCCACCCCACCGCCCCTCAAGTACCTCCTCCGTGGTGTAGTGGTTAGAACGTCCGCCCGGAGAGCGGAAGGTCGCGGGTTCGATCCCCGACCGCGTCATACCAAAATATGGTACGTGTTGGTCCCTGCCTGGCGCTCGGCATTAATGGGTACAACAAGGACTGGTCGGCTTGGAGTCAGTATAATGTGTCTGAGTGGGGTATTCATGCTTCACTGCGGCATGGTATCTCAGTGGGCTCAGCACTATAAAACCAGCTAGTCTGGGCTAGTACAAGCAGCCGCACATACACATACACACGCATGCACGTCGTCATATGAGCGAAATATTATCAAGCAAGACGTTAAACCCAATTTCACCTCATTCACCCACCGCCACTCAAAAGGTCCATGAAGAGGACAAACTTGGTGCACATCAGCAAAGAGAAACAAAACGAAATAACTTCATGTTTGCGATAGTTAAGATATATAACCTTGCACAGACGTTAAAGATTTAGTCAGGGATATATTACATGGGGCAATATGTATATGACGTATTATTTTACAATCAGATTCTGTCAGTGTCTGCTTTCAACACAACACCTGTTGGAAGTAAATATATTAGTTTCATGTTTACTTACGTATTAATAAATGTATCTATGTGTAACCATCATTTAGAATTCCCCTACAAATCGTTACAACCGTACATCCCGCCATTCCCCGCTCAGCGTGACGCTGTATCTGTGAAAGTGACTGAAGCGGACATAGAAGCTGCCCGTTCATATGTTGTCTGTTGTCTGTTACAGATGTCAAAATGTCTTCACTTGACTTTGTTTTCTATTTTATTGTATTCCATATTGCACTAAAGAAGTTCAGAATTCCCACACTATAACTTTTATCGTGATTTATGCAAGTATTTCTGTATATTTTGACGAAGCGCCTCGACGTCTGTCTTCAACATCACATCAACAGGGCCGGAAAAAAAATGTCAAAATTGTTGTGCTCGGTATTTATTCGTTTATCAAATCACGTAACTTTGTTTGAAATACATTTAGAATTCACACACAAATAGTTTTACAGTACAGTTATTCCGTTGTGTGTGACAGTGATCACCCAGTTTGCAACTGGTGAAACTCACAGTCACACATTCAGCGCGCTGTTCACAGATAATCACAAAGGATCATTCAGCTGTTTACAGATAATCACATGCAATTCCGATTAAACACCCGGCTTTGTCAATGACAGTAAATAAACTCGTCTCACAACAAACCCAATCTGTATTTCCAGGTCCTGAACTACATCTGGACGCCGCACGAGCAAACACAAGATGGTGCCAAGTAACTGCAGATGGTGAGCTGATCAACTCGCCGTCCCACACACCGTCAGATCAGGAGAGGCACAGGTTACAGGAGTATTGGGGGACCTGTACTTCCACCCCCATCCCCTTTCCTCCATCCTACTCTACTTTCGCCCCAGTATACAGCACACCTAGATACTGGGAGACATTCACCAGGCTGCGGGTGGTGGTGGGGTCGTGGTGCCTTGTACTGGAGATGGGGGTGAGTGAGGCAGGTCAGGTAGGCAGGGTGTGGTGGGTTTCTGATCAGCGTCGCTCCTGGTGTGTCAATGTAGAGAGCTGTGACATACACCCGGGAAGTGTCTGCACCACGGTGTACAGGGAGGGTGAACGGGGCGAGTGTCAGCAGAACACCGTGTTCCGCACTCCCGGCACACAGGCCACCCTCCACTATGGCGTTGTGCTGGATGTGGCGAGGGGAAGACTCGCATTTGTCGACTTGAACAGAGAGATTGTTTTAGCCAAGTTTGATGAGATTTTCACGGAAGACCTGTACCCCATGTTTGGTGTTTGGTCGGATGAATTGACCATCAACATGAGGCTGGTCAGCGGTGAGGACATCGACATCACTGACACAAAGAAGTCTCTGATTCACCATGCGCTGACATAGAAAACACGCCAGACATGAGACTGTGTGACGTTACCAGTGTAACTGAGAGACTACCCGCCGTTTCATTGACCTCCACGTTACTCAGCGAAGCGGACATAGAAGGGTCCGTTTCGTTTCATGTTTCATGTTTACAGAAAGTAGCGAAGTTTGCTAAATGTGATGTTTTGCTGCACGTGATGATGGTACAATGTCTACAAAGTATTTAGAATTATCACATTAGTATCTTCATGTTGAAATAATTGATGTAACCACCACCATTAGGAGACACTGTGTGATGTTTGTGAAATCTGATGTGTTGAATATAAGTCTTTAGTGAAGTCAGGTTTTACACAAAATGTTTCACATAGCAATGTTTTCTATTTCACTTCACTCTCCTGTGTATTATAAATGTTTTGAATCCTCGCGTTAATAGTTTTATGATCATATTCGTGTTGTTGCCGCTTAAACTAAGTTGTTATGTTAAGCCATTATGTTGTTTTCTAATGAATGTCAGGTTTGGTTGAGTTGAGAGCACAAAACTGAGATATGTTGTTTCAAAGTACAGTTTTCTTTATTCCATTTCACTTATTTTGTTACAAGTGTTTTCAATCAACGCATTAATAGTTTCATGATCAAATATATGTTTTTGCAACTTAAAAGTGACATATTATGTTGTTTTCTGATGAATGTCGGACTTTAAACTGGTGAGAACTCTAGACTTAGTTGTGTATTTCGCTCAACGTGCCTGTATATCACAAAGCTTTCACTCTAACATAGACAGTTTTATGTCTATTTCTTGAGCAGCTCTTAATCATGACACAGTTTGTAGTTCTCTGACCGACGATATAATTTGTAACAATGAGAACAAAGATTGATAAATAAAGTGCTTGTAAAATTGCCGCTTTCATTGTTTCTTTCAATTTTCAGTATTGTGTGAGTGAGTGAATGGTGTTTTCTCGGCAGTAAGGAATATTCCAGCTATATCACAGGATCTTGTAAATAATCCTGGTCCTGTAAACCAGTGATCGATAGCATGAGCAGTGATTACTAAGTTAGTGATTACGGATATAAAGTGCGTTTGTTACTAATGAATAGTTGTAAAACTGACAGGGGTGAAGTGACTAATATATGGTGTAGCAATTCCACTTGAGGCTACACCAATTTTATTACTTGTTTTACGGATTTTTGTCCTCAGAAAACCAAAAGGCAGGAGGGGAAAACCATCACCAGTCAAAATAATATTACTTTTAAATACTAATAGAATTTTAGCGGGGAATTTTTTTTCTTATTCTTGAAAAAATACGACCGCCGGATGCCTAAAACAAGAAATAAAGAATTATTCACCACCTGATTACGTGAAGGAATTTAATATTTGACTTTTTGTGCAATAAAATGCAAATTAAATTAAATACATATCAAAGCAGCATCTATGTTGCTCAGTAGTGGAATTTAACATTGCGTATGAACATCACGTGACACACGTGCAGATACAGGGTAAAAGGGCGTTTTCCTTATGGGGAACTCACAATCTCCAATGCTACGGAGCTAAGGATACGCTTTGAAATACTTCCGAAACTATCTCTAAGAACAGAAGAAAAGGTGTCAGTATGCCGTCAAGCGGATGGGATTGCAATGAGACCTAGCTTTCATTAATTGTTAAAAGGCAATAGCTTCAAATCTGCTCCTGTCATCAATAGAAAAGTATGTACAAGGTGATTTTCAACATCTACTGTTTTGAACATCTAATGTTTATTGAATGGGTTAGCCGAATATTGACTGCAAAGTTCCGGACAGGCGAGGCAACACCTGGGATAGGTTTGTGCCAAAAGCGTTACACCATGTTTACTGACCAATTTAGGTTTTGCCTCTGATTCAGTGATGACAGAAAACGTTGTAAGCGACGTAGTGGCGAGAGATATGCGTTGGTCAACAAGTCTTGATGGTGATCGGGATGGCGACGTAATTTTATAAGTGTCATGGTGTGAATGGTATAACACATCTTACGTATACGGGATAACACTTTAGTCAAGTATAATCTCTAGTACTATATTGAATACTAATACGGTTAGAATATACACCCTCAGTGTGAGCTATGTGATCACACAAAGTCAGCTAGCTCACCAACTCATGGTAGGGTACACATAAGTACCAAAATAACTTTGCATATATGTCTTTTAATCAATTTGCCATGGTAAAAATATATCTGCAGAGTTCCCTCGCAACAATTTTAACGTTCCCAAACCTTGCTACTGTGTACCCTCACAATACTGTCCGCAGATCAGACATAAGAGTTCCTTCAAGTTTGAAGCAGCTGTGATTCTCTTACCCTTTCCTGAACATACCCAGCTTTACTGACCCGTGTCCTACAATCCCCATGACACGTATCTGTGTAATTCCATCAGGCATTACTCCGTCGTCACTTCTACTTATATACTCTTAAGGTCAGGGAATGGTCGTAGGTATTTTCACTAAGAACACTCTGTAAGAATACGAGCCCCAGAGACACAACTGCAATTCACTTTGTATTTTACTGTGGTTGAGCTAATAACATTAGACATACAACATGATGTTACTAGCGACCACTGAGTACATGAGTACCCCTTGCAGTGAAGTATGGCAGTATTGGCTGTATATATGAAACATCCTTTTGAAGAAAGATCGTATTCTAAACTACGCATCCACAGTGTGGCATGGGCGTCGGTGGAATTATCAGTTACACATGAGAAAGGTCTCCCAAAATTCTAAAGATAGTTTTTATTTATGAAACATGACGGTGGTTTGCAATGAATATTTGACGTAGGCAGAAAGATCATTGTACACTCTCCAGAATAATTATTGTTAAGAACTATGATCAACAATTTCTCTATGCCTCAGTTCGAAAATATCATTATAAAAGAAGCGAATTCTTTGAATCTCCATATGAAGAACATTTATGACGGAGGTCACAGGTGACCCCGTTGTACGGGGTTTGTTTCATTATTGTATGCATTATTTTATGTGTTATTCGATATGAAGCAAATGTATAGCGAGACGGTCAAGGGTATGTATCTTCATAGAAAATGATAATAAAACCCTCGAAAATCGAGGATGTCTCCTCTGGTGGGTTTTATCTCTTCTTCACGGAGTGTCATGACTGAGTAAAATATACTCTTAAAAAAAGTAACGCAAAAGTGAAAAAATCCTGATAAATTTAGATATGTGGAAACTTAGAGTTATGAACACTGAATATGTTGTGTTGTGGAGCTTACAAAAAGCATTTTCATCGCAATAATCGTTAAGAAATGACTTCTTACACAGATGATTAACGGTGAAAAAACGCAACAGCTGTGGTTTTGAGCCACTTACGCAAAGGCATGGCATGCACGTGCAAAAGGCATAACAAGCACCATATGAGTACAGGTAGACTAAGGCTTAGTCTCTGAATATATATAATTTTGATAGTAACAAACAAGCCCATGTATATTGAAAAGGAGCCCTAGGGAGACCAGAGAGACTGAGGAAATCTAGACTTGCTTTATCAAGGGCTTTAGCACCGCAGAGAGGGCTTGGCAGTAGGGAAATTAATGTGGTTCAGGGACTGTGAGACAGACTAGAGTGCAGGGTTCTCGATTTCGCTTCACTTCGGTTAAAACTCTCAGCACAGATTTCATAATGCCAAGACTGAACGAAACTCAGAGGAACAACGCCATCGGAGTGAGTGAGTGAGTTTAGTTTTACGCCGCTTTTAGCAATATTCTAGCAATATCACGACGGGGGACACCAGAAATGGGCTTCGCACAATGTACCCACGTGGGGACTCGAACCCGGGTCTTCGGCGTGACGAGCGAACGCTTTAACCACTAAACTACCCCACCACCACCCAACGCCATCGGACGATTGCAAGGAGGCGAGGTTTTTTAATGTCTCCCCTAGCACCATATCGAGGCTATGGAATCGCTACCAACAGCAGCAATCAACACGTGACCTTCCCAGATCCGGTAGACCACGTGTCACCATTCCTGCCCAAGACCGCTACATCCGGTTACGCCACCTACGCCAAAGGATGACAAATGCTGCCTTCACTGCATCCTCAGTAACGGGACATCATCAGGATCTCGGACCACACTGTCCGTAACCGTCTACGAGAGGCAGGGTTGCGACCAAGACGTCCTGTTAAAGGCGTGATTTTGTCCCGGCCGCATCGCCAGCTACGATTGCAATGGTGTCGAGCGCACGGGGTATGGCCTCAGGGACGATGGAGACACGTATGGTTCAGCGATGAATCCCGATTCATGCCATCTCTCACAACGCCAGGACAGGCTTAAAAGCTTGGGGGAAGAGCAAAGCGCTATGATATCTTGCGTCCGCACGTCGTCCCCACCATGGCTAACGTCAACGCTGTTTTCCAGCAGGACAGTGCCCGTCCTCATACATCACCACATCACCACACACATCACCACAGCCTTCCTAGCAAACAACAACATCAACGTTCTGCCATGGCCTTCCAGATCCCCGTATTTTAAACCCAATTTAGCATCTTTGGGATGAATTCTCATAGACGTCTGCGATGGCGACAACCACAACCTCAGATACTACAACAGCTAGCTGCCGCTTTGGCGGCTGAGTGGGCTACAATTCCCCAGACTGTCATCCGCAATCTGATTCCGTCTATGGGCAGGAGGTGCCAGGCAGTAACTGATTCTCAGTGGGGTCACACACGTTACTAACTGTGGTGTACCTGACGTCAAAAGTGCCGTTGGAACATTCGATGACTGCTACTATTGCCTCGGTTGTTGTTTATCTGTAAAAAAAGTCAAATTTCTTTCATTTCTAGTTCATGTAGTAAATGTCTTCGAAACATCCAATGTAAATCTGGCTTTGGGTTAGTTTTTTTAAGAGTATATTTATTTTAATGGGACGATTAGACACCCAACAAAGAATTTAATCTTAGGGTTTATAGCTTTTCCACACATTACATTATATTGTTATGTTGGTGTCCTGTAATAATGTATCCTATATGCAGAAATTAACTGTTTATATTTCTAAAGTAATGCGCTTTGGTTTTGTATGTTGATTGATTTATTGTGAATGTTGTCTCTCTGTAACTTTGTAATGCAGAAAAGACGTGTGGCCTACACAGCGAAAGGAATAAAATTAATGCTAGTCATTGTTCCAGTGATTGATATAGTGGACAACGATAACACTAATACGTCATCCATCAAGTGACCCGTGAAGATCTGGGTTAGAACTCATCTTCAGTAACCCATGCTTGTCTCCCCGTGAAGATCCGGGTTAGAACTGATCTTCAGTAACCCATGCTTGTCGTAAGAGGCGGCTAACGGGATCGGGTGGTCAGGCTCGCTGACTGGGTTGACACATGTCATCGGTCCCCAACTGCACAGATTGATACTCATGCTGTTGATCACTGGATTGTCTGGTCCAGACTCGATTATTTACAGACCGCCACCATATAGCTGGAATATTGCTGAGTGCGGCGTAAAACTACTCTCACTCACTCATCCATGAAGTGGTTCTACCCCTGTAGGGCATGTCCCTCTTGACCCCTGTTGTGTTAGGACACTTGGTAAGTTCCTGTCCGCCCCCGACTGACTGTGTCGTTCGTCACGCTAACTCCTTGTGGTAGGATTAGCTGTCAGATCTCGCTAAGCATGGCAGCTTACAGGGTCAGATGTGAGCAGCTGACTAAGTGTTATCGACATGGATCGCTACACCACGCAGCTCTGGTCAATCCCATACCATGGGCGCTTGACTCTGATATGTTTATAAGTATGACCTATATATATAAGATATAAGAAAGGTGTGTCAGTAAATCGAAACAAAATGGCGGCCCGGCTCGGCTCGGCTTGGTTTCGGTCTGACAAACGGTTCCATCGCTTTGACCGTTGAATAAACTGCAC